ATCAGAGAACTTTGAGATTGCCAGTGTCAAAGAAAGAGGCTGTGTCCTCCAGACAGGTCAGGGGGAGAGAAGAAAATTGCTCCAAAACCTGAAGGGCTCTGAGGATGGTCCCTTCAGTACAAAACCAAGGCAACACAGAACCTGCCCTACACCTCTAGAAACTCAAGAAAAATAAAATCATGTACAAAGTGAATAGCCATAAGATTATGTTTTTTTTTGGCTGTATTTTCATCACATCATGTTCATTCTCTTTTGTTGTATCAGTGACAAGGAAGCAACCACCTCAAGCAATCAGAGAGCTGTGCAGAGCAATCCTCTTCCAGACACGATCACTCCTAGGAGAGAAGGAATGCTGATCTGTGCATTAGAGGCTGAACAGAGATGACAACCATATGTCACTTGGCAGAAGACGGGGGTTTGTTTGTTGCCATTTCAGTATCTCAAATGTCATGAATTATAAAATAGAGCCTAAATTAATAGTCAGGAAGGACTTTTTCAGGGCCCCACACTTAGGAGACGCTCATCTGGGAGAAACTCTTTCAACTCATAGACTGTTGGACTTGATCAAAGGTTCTTGCTTTTCAGGAGGCTTCTGTACAATACTCAGACTCAAGAGCTTCACGAAACAAGAGCCAGGTTTTCTCCCAGAGAAAATTGGAATCCCAGTGAGATGTCAGGCTCATCTTGAAGGCAGAAGGTCCAACTGTTTAGAAAGCAGGAACTTCTGAATATTAATACACTCATACAGTAATGACTGGTAGGACTGTCAGTCTGTACTCTTTAGCAACATGGTACCATCCAGATTGATCTTTGAAAGGTCTTTAACTGCAGCAGAATGTACCAGAATTTGATTTTTAATGATATTAGAACAACTAGGCAAGTCCATTGTCTCTGGCAGGGGTAGGGGGGCTTAGCCCAGCTTCTGGAGGAAAGGTAAGACAGTGCCTCAGACAAAGCTTTTATACTTCTGAGTGAGGACTATCCTCAAGAAGTCCAACATTTGCAGGCTGTATGAGACACTGGATTCACCCAAAGAGTGTATGGAATTTCGTGAATAAGAAATTGTCTATATTTATCTGCTTAGTGAAAAACTTCTCTTTGATGGACTGAGTCCTGCATTCCCATGAGGCTGCTAAATAAGACTCACTGTGTGCAGACAGCTGAACCTCAGGAGAGGAGAAAAGCATCACAGGTCAGAGCAATAACTCTCACTTTCAGTAGCTTTACATAAAATCACTATTTCCCATAGGGAGCTAAAAGTAGAGAGTGGACACAAATCAAGGCAAAGAAACAATTCCACCTTAAAGATCTCCTGCTAACTGCTCAGATATGAAAGGATATGAGTCTGACATCCCTATCCTACAAAACAAAGGAACTTGAAGTTGGGACCTTGTGGTTCAGGTTTTCCTCAAATCAAGAAAGGTGATAGAGATGTGATGAACTTTGGAAAGTTCTTGAACAGAGCTTAGCACTAAGTGATCATAGAAAATAGAGAGGTGAGGAGCTATGCAAAGTCTAGGAAGAAGACTTCTGGATAAAACGATGGTCTCATTTTAGGCAAATCATTACAGAAGAACTAATTGGGAATTCTACTGAGCCAAGCTTAGATAAAGGCTTAGGTATGTTTACCCCAAACCCAAGACACTTGTGAACGACTTGGGTATCTCCACAGTCCAGTGTCATGGAACTATTTTGAACCTCAGTTATCTGAGAACACAAGGTGAACAGAAAGACCTCATATCATCATTCTACTCTGTTTTCCAGCCAAAAGGAATCATAAATTCATCTCGATCTGACTCGTTCTCACAACTGCAACACTCCATCCACGTGGCACTGTGTCCAGCCTATGAACTTCAGCCAGCCTGAAGCACTGAACTCCTTCAGAGACTGAGCTATTGTATGTGTGCCACAGGCAGAGTCCAACCACACGCCACCAAAGTCAAGGCTACAAACATGGCAGACAACTGCCCAGATGTTTTCAGCAAGACTCACACTGCTCTGGAGGTGAAGAATCCTCCAGTCCTGCCCGTTAGTCCCCAGCTCTGGTAATCAGGATCTGGGCTTTTTTCAGCCTGGAGAAAAGGAGACTCAGGGGAGATATTCTCACCCTCAACAACTCCCTGGAAGGAGGTTGGAGTGAAGTAGGGGTTCGCTCTTCTCCCAGGGAACAAGAGGAATGGCCTCAAGTTGCACCAGGAGAAGTTTAGGTTGGACATGAGGAAAAATTTCTTCCCTGAAAGGATTATGAATCCCTGGAGCAGGCTGCCCAGGGAGATGGTAGAGTCACCACCCCTGGAGACAGTTAAAAGACACGTAGACGTGGGCTTGGGGACACAGTGTGGTGGTGGACTTGGCAGGGTTAGGTTTGAGACTGGACTTGATGATCCTAAAAGTCTTGTTGAACCTAAGTGATTCTGTGATTCTATGAATCCAAACACGTGAGCAAGACACATGAACCAATCACCCTTAAACAAAATTCTCTGCTCCAACAAGACAAGCAGTCCAGTACAAAGAAGGCAGCTACTGGTGATGGCCAGTCTCTGACAATCCAAAGGAAGAAGCACAAAAATCTCCACAGACCAACCACAAAGGCCTTGAAGCAAGATTTGGAGATTTGTCCTAATGCAGAGCTGCAAGTGTTCTGAGGATGGTGCAGATAAATGACTCTGAGCACAACTGTGAAGGAAGGAGTTGAAAGGGAGGCTCATAACTCAACAGCAGAGGCCACCACACTGGACACGCACACACAGAACTCCTTCTCATCACCTCAGTCAAGTGTCTCTTAAAATGATAAATTATCTCATCTTAAAGACTGAAAAGGATGGTGATGGGAAAAGTCTCCAATACTGAATTACACCAAGAGCTGCAAAACTATTTTAATCCCAATGTGGAACTTCTCAAGTGTTGACTTTCAGCTACTGGAGCCTGTTATGGCTTACCAGTGGTTGGGTTGTCCACCTCACTACGAGCTATCTACTCCTCACATAAGCTCCTGTAAAGATGACTTGGCCATCGTGTTATGTCTCTTTGACTAGTTGAATGTTTATTTACAGCACCAGACCAGTTTTGTAGGCTCTGTACCCTTCTCCTGTCCCTCCTTCAAATCCCCAGCAATATCTCTGTATGATTCTTGGTATGGCAAGACAGAAACTGCACAGCATGGTCTGAGATTTGACTGACTCTCCATAAAGAAAATAGTTTTCATACTCCTGATTATGGCTTCCCTGCTGAGATCCCTGAGTCAGTGCAGGGATTGATCTTCTTGATCAATCATCTTCTTGAGGGTCAGGAGATTCTACAGAGGGATCTGACCAGGCTGGATGGATGGGCTGAGGCCAGTGGGATGAGGTTCAACAAGGCCAAGTGCCAGATCCTGCTCTCGGGTCACAACAAACTCCTGCAATGCCACAGGCTGGGATAAAAATGGCTGGAAAGTTGCCCAGAGGAAAAGGAACTGGGGGTGCTGGTCACCAGCCAGCTGAAGAGGAGCCAACAGTGTCCCCAGGTGGCCAAGAAGGCCACCAGCATCCTGGCCTGGATCAGCACTAGTGTGGCCAGCAGGACTATGGCAGGGAAAAGCCCCTTGGCCTCAGAACTGGGGAGGCTGCACCTTGAATCCTGGGGTCAGAACTGGGCCCCTGCCTCCAAGAAAGACCCTGAAGGGCTGGAGTGTGACCAGAGAAGGGCAATGAAGCTGTTGAAGGGTTTAGAGCAGAAATCTTGTGAGAAGGAGCTGAGGGAGCTGGGGGTGCTGAGCCTGGAGCAAAGGAGGCTCAGGGGAGACCTTCTGGCTCTGCACAGCTCCTGACAGGAGCCTGGAGCCAGGGGGGGGTCGGGCTCTGCTCCCAAGGAACAAGCAACAGGACAAGAGGAAACAGCCTCAGGCTGCACCAGGGGAGGTTTAGGTTGGCTACTTGGAAAAACTTTGTCAAGGCCTGGCCCAGGCTGCCCAGGGCAGTGGTGGAGTCACCATCCCTGGAGGTACTTAAAAGACATGTTGGTGTGGTGCTGAGGGACATGGTTTAGTAGTGGACTTGGCAGTGGTGGGTTAACTCAGTTGCACCTGAGGATCTTAAGGTATCTTCCATCCAAAATACGTCTATGATTCAACATAGGCAGGAGCTGCAAGAGCCATTTTTGTCTTTACATCATGCTCTGGGCTTCCTGGCAGACATTTATCCACAATAGCCCCTGGATCCTTCTCAGAGTTACTGTTTCCCAGGATGGTATCACAGTTTGAAGGTATCATCTGCATTTTTCATTCCCAGATGTAGTAACAAGTGGTGTAATTATGGAAGCTGTTAAAACACTGAAATGAGTTACTGTGTGTAATATTTCTGGGAAATAGGAGAAAGGCTGATGTTTACTGAAACTATATAAACATGCAAAATGTTTTCTCCACACAGCTTCCCATTTCTGTTTGCACAGATGTGTGTGATGGCATCACAAAACCTCTTCCAAGAAAGATAAATTCAATCAAAAGGTTCCAATAAGGCAAAGAGCTCGAATGCTCTGCTGGTGCCTCCCCACACCACCTCAGGCCTCTGTTTTGTTGCCTTTTTGGAATCATAAAAGATATTCACGGCCATTGGAAAGCATATAAAAAAAGAAACAAGAATTTTATGCAGGATGAAGGTCCCTGGCAGGAATAAAGTGACCAGCTCTGAAGCTGCGAAGAAATATGCTTTAATTTAAGAGACAAAAGATGGCATTAAGGGAGAAATTGTCATAATCAGAGTTGAAACAAAAAGATTTTCTATTGTCTGCCGTGCCTCTCTGTGGGAATTTTCCCAGCACAGACAGCTGTAAAGGAGGAGGGGCACGGTGAGGGTCTGGACTCAGTCTCTCTCCTCCTCTTTTTCTCTGTCAATAAACGTCTGCAATCATATTCTTGAGCGCCAGTGTGATTTCAAGGTTCATCTCTTCCATGCAGCTCAAACACTAATTATCCCAGCTGTAATTAGTAAGATAATTAAATACTGGCTCACTCATCACTCTACCTTGTGTCGGGTCATGATTCTCCCAGAAGACCTTGAGCAGTTTCTCAAAGCTGATGTTTTCTGGCTGATAGACGACTCGTACAGCCTCGGTGTGGCCAGTTCTACCTGGAAAGGCAAAATCAAATCAGATGTTGTTAGTGAGAATTAGCTGGTGCCTATCCACTATTTTATATCAAAATTCAAAACACAGGCCTTTGTTTTTCTTTTTTTTTTTTTCCTTAAAGGTGTTTTGATTCACCATCATTTAGAATTTTAAGCCTTTTTTTTTTAAATACTTTAAATATTCTAAATACAACATTAAAATATGACAATTTATATGTCTAAATCATCTGGACAGTACAAAACTGGGCTTCACTGCCATGAGGTTAAGATATGGATAAAAAAACTGATTAGAAAAACAGATTTCAAGGGCATGTTTACACAAGGCCACCCAAATAATTTCAACCTATATTTTGCATCAAATAATTCCAACTGTATTTCACATCATCCAAAGCACTGATGCTAGAGGGCTTCAGAGCCAGGCAAACAGCCTGGCTGAACTTCATGACAGCAGATGAAGTTCAGGGAAGGTCAGCAGGTGCTGGAGCACAGGAAAACATATTATTCCTATTTCTCACTTACATTAGGGGCATGATTTTTTCATTCCTTATGTGTCTCATCACTCACAGTATTATTGAAAGGCCAAACTTTGTAAGGTGTGAACTGTTTTTTCAGTTAAATCATGCTAATTAAATACTCCACAAAAGGAAACTGAGCCAGATACGTCTTTTGGTGGGGATGGAATGAGCTCCTCTGTCACACTAGGCCAGGTTCTTGTCTCATTTATACCAGCATAAACTTCAGATTCACTCAACTGGCTTCAACAGAACTGTTGAATTTCATGCAGTGCAGCAAGCAGCTGAATCTTGCCCAGTGGCAGGTTCTGAATTAGCTACCACCAAACAAGAAAAATCAGAATTTATGAGTGACTGAGGAGTGTTCAGTGGAAACACCAATACAATGCTAAAATAAATCTTAATTTTAAAAAATAAAAGTAGAAAGAAATAAAAAGGATGTTAGAATACATTAAAGAGACATCACAGGGAAAGTATGACAGCATTATATCTGTTCATGGGGCAGCTGAAATGAAGAAAAGCTCCTAAAGGAGGCACAGAGGGCTGGGCTTGCTATTAGAATGGGTTTAAAAGACTGGGATTAAATTTAGGCTGGAATGCAGAGGAGAAAAAGGGAACACATCTGGGATATCTGTCACAAAAAATTGGATAAAATCAAATTGGTTCCTATCTAGTGTGCTTCCCAATGGAAGAAAGATATGCTCACTGAGATTAAAACACAAAAAAAATCCAAGTTTCATGTAACCTGTAGTTACAGCCACGTCTCCTGTCCACCAAGGCACTGCCCAGGAGAACACTGGCCCCATCCCTCTTTGACACACTCTACACCTATCAAAGACCACAGAAGCAACTCAAATTCTGATGGTAAATTAGCAGAAAGGGATCATACATTTAGTAGAACAAAGATACAAGTCAGAGATAATTGTTTTAATAGGAGAGTGAAATGCTCATCCTATGTCCTGGCATGAGCTGATGGCCACCTTAGGGCAGGGAGGGAATTTATTCCAGATTCCATGGTTTAATGTGGACTATCACTTAAAATAATGGCTCTTGCCTTCCTTAGCTGAAGCCCAGATCAGGACTTTTGTTGTTGCTTGAGATCAAGAAGGAAAACAAACTGCCAATGGTTTGTCCAGCTCTCACATGCCTACATTTTATAATAAAAAGAGATTAAGGCATGGCTTCTGATTTTAATTCTTGGTTTTGTTTTGGGTTGGGCTTTTTCTTCTGTAAGCCAATGTGAAGCTTATGGAAGGCTGTTATCACTCAGCAGCAAATTGCTTGTCTAAGATGACTAGCTTTAGATCACAAGAGAGTTTCCTAAAGAACTTCAAAACAACAGAGGCATTACCTTCCCTCTCAACTGAAGCAGCAATTACATCTTGTCAACACTGTCTGCTCTGACTAATCCAGAAGTTCAAAGAATCAGCTTTCTTCTTTCCCTCTGAATAAGGAAATAATTGTGCCACTCTGAGAACTGCAGCCTGACCTCAAGGAAAAAATCCTCAGATGTGTGGCTAACAGACTGTTAGAACCTAGAGCATGTTTAAAATCAATATTCATCCTCAGAGGAAAAGCAAGGAGGTAATGCTGCTGGTCCTAGCAGATTCACCTCTCATTTTCCTCAAAGCCTTTCCACAATCCAGTGGATTTTCTTTCAGTATGCAGCGTGGCTGTTTCTACTAAGAACAACCTTAGTCATTTGTGGTGAGCACCCTGACTTCCCAACCATTTTAGTGGTAGCTAAACCAATCAACTGAGTAAATGAACATCATGAGCAAATAAACAGGTAGGAGGCTCCATGTGGGACAGATTAACCACAAAATTGCCTAAAAGAAGCAGCTAGAAAGAAAACAGCATCAAGGGACAAGAAAAGAAATAATCTCTCCACAAGTGTGACATGCCCCTCAAAAAAAGAATTAGAAGATACCACAAGGTTACACCAAGTAGTGTGTGGAAAGAACCAGCTCATTGGTGTTGGATATGACCCAGCTGCAGCCAAAGTGGCAAAAGGGACCTGAAATTGGGTTCTCCCTGCTGATCTTCTTATTTTGCTTTTTGATGAAGGCTTAAGTTCAACTGTGAAAACAGAATAATCCTGTTTCAGTTTGGGGTTCCTCCATTTGGTACAGAGCAGGCTTCAAACCAGCTAAGCACTCCTCTGTGTTGTGAAATAATCATTGGAATATTTCTAACCAAACAGAAATCCTTTATTTCTAGGTGCCATTATGGGATTTCCAGTTCTGGTGCTCTGTACTCAGCTCGAGAAGGAGCTCAGCCCTCGAAGAACCTCTCTGCAGAGGATAAGACTTTATTACACCGTGGCAGAGAGGGCTGTGTGCCAACAGCAGATTGCCTGTTTATCCTAGATCCATTTCCCACTCAGAAAACACAGCCACTCTCAGAGGATTAGCTACAGTGAGCTCTTCCATGGGGATTCAAACTCTGGCAAAAATGTTCCTGTAAAGAGCAATAGAAAAAGACATCTGAGTGACACCTCGCTGCTCCTGTTCAGGATTTTTCCTTCCTGGCAGTGTTTAGATTTTCACCTTCTTAATCATCTCCCAGGTGAGTGCCCAAGGTGAGGGATTAGAGAAGCAAAGTCATTCTTTTTCACTTGCTGGATCCACTAAGCATTTAATTATTTCTGGCAAAGCAGAACAACTTCAAAGGGCTGGCTGGAGAGCACCTCGCCCATGGATGCCCAGCCTCTCAGTGGCTGTGGCACCTCCACATGATGTGTGGGCTTCACCTCCAGCTAGTCCAGGCCAGGGTGGATTCAATTAGAAAATTCAAGCAATGTCAGAACTATTCCCTCCTGCCCCACTTCTCCAGAAAAAAAGGACTTCCCTCTCTTTACCCACTGAAATAAGCATAAAAATATAGAATGTTTGGGGTGGGAAGGGACCATTAAAGCTCACCCAGTCCAACCCCCTGCAGGGACAGGGACATCTGCAGCTAGAGCAGGGTGCTCAGAGCCCCGGCCAACCTCCCCTGGGATGGTGCCAGGGATGGGGCAGCGACCACCTCTCTGGGCAGCCTGGGCCAGGGGCTCAACACCCTCAGCAGCAACAATTTCTTCCTTCTCTCCAGTCTAAAGCTCCCTCTTCTAGGTTCAAACCATCCCCCTTGTCCTGTCCCAACAGACCCTGCGCAAAAGTCCCCCTCAGGTTTCGGGCAGGCCCCTGGCAGTCCTGGCAGCCCCCAGCAGGTCTCCCCAGCTGGAGCCTTCTCCCCTCCGCTGCCCCAGCCCAACTCTCTCCTGCTGGGCTCCCAGCAGAGGGGTTCCCCCCTCGGGGCATTGCTGGGGCTCCTCCGGCCCCGCTCCAGCAGGTCCCTGGCTCTGCTGTGCTGAGGACTCCAGAGCTGGACACAGTATACCTCAATCCAGTGAAAGGTCCTAAATCCAGTAAATGTCTAAATAGAATGTAAAGAAATAGGTGTCAGATCTTCAGGTGATGCACGTTTCAGATCTTATTGATTTTGGAGCTAAACCAATTTCTGCTAGCTAAAGGCCCCAGTGAATATGCAAAGTATTACATGAAAAAGTGGTAGGTCTTTTGAACATCTGTTTCTCCAGACAAACCTGGGAATTTTTATGATGTTGTGGTTATTGCTGATAAAATATCCAGCTTCTTCCCCAAACAGCAATCTGTAAAACCCACAAACAAGGGGTTTCACACCAACACACTGAGCCCACACTTTGGGGACCTACTCAGTCTTACCTTCTTGCCTTCAAAGTAAAGAGGAGGAAACCAGTGAAAATACTCCCAGATCAATAGATTTTGTAAAGAAGGGAAAAATTGATAATTTTATTTGAATTCCTGCATAACATAGATGACAAAATTTCACTGGACCATATTCTGTACTTAGCAAAGTAGCAGTTCTTGACTTACAGAGCACAACAGACAGAAAACCCACCACAAGTCAAGGTAACTTCATCCAGAGGTTAACACCTCCCTACTTTTAAAACAAGCAAAGAAGAAAAATGAAGACAACAATTATTTATCACCTGACTTGATATATTTCAAGATCTTTCTGTATAGACAAAGACTACTAGGAAGTCATCCCTTATCTTTTTTGTTCCTGAATATTTTATCTGAATTGATGTTTCTATTTAATGACCCTGTTGGATTAATTTTCTTTACTTTTTGAGAACATAAGGAGGTACTAGTTCAGGCCTTCAGCCTCTCTCTGACCATGACCATAAGCAGATGTGCAGGGAAGGGCTGAAAAGTCATGTGTGACATATCTATGAGATTATAGGTGAAGAACTACAACCTTTTAGTATTCAAGGGGGACTATAAGAAAGAGAGGGAGAGACTTTTGAGCAGGGCCTCTTGGGACAGGACAAGAGATGATGGTTTTAAACTAGAAGAGGGAGAATTAGGCAAGAGAGAAGGAAGAAATTGTTGACCCTGAGGGTGTTGAGCCCCTGGCCCAGGCTGCCCAGAGAGGTGGTTGCTGCCTCATCCCTGGAACCATTCCAGG